TTAGAGCCAGGCGAGGACAGCTGCTGTCTGTGTAGCCAGCCCACTGGCTACAGCTCCCACAGGGCTTTGAAGCCCCGCCCACACAAAGTCCTGCCCATGAAGACTGGAAGCTCCACCCACCCACTGCGGCTGCGCCTCATGCCCAGCACTGAAGAGCCACCCACTGGATGCCCCGCCTACCCAGTGCAGGTGCCCCGCCCACTCGCTGCAGCCACACCTCCCACCAGGCCTTGCAGCTCTGCCCACTAGCTCCCTGTCACCCACTGCAGCTGCCGCTCCAGCACTCCACCTGCTCTGTGCCCCCTCCCCTCCCCTCCCCCCCCTCACCTGTACCGCGGCTGCTCTGACGTCTCGGATGGCGACCGCTCTGGAATGGAGAGGGAGGTGGATGACAGAGTGGTGGCGATGGAGGCGGTGGTGGCTTCCTCAAAAGAAGGTGGGGTGCAGGGCAGGAGGTCTGGCCGGCCTGTGGGTGGAGTGGGCGCGTGGACACTCGGCCCATATGGTGGATCCTCCCCCTGATGCACTCCCAGCTGTCCTCCTGAACCTGCCACCCAGCACCAGCCTCTGTGCACGGCCTTCAAAAGGCAAGGATGACCGCCCCGCGCCGGGGGCTCACGCCTGTCATCCTAGCTACTCAGGAGGCTGAGATCTGACGATCACAGTTCAAAGCCAGCCCAGGCAGGAAAATCCACGAGATTTATCACCAACAAACCACCAGAAAACCAGAAGTCGTGCTGTGGCTCAAGTGGTCGAGCACTTGCCTTGAGCTGAAGAGCTGAGGGACAGCACCCAGGCCCAGAGTTCAAGCCCCACAACCAACAACAAAAGAAGGCAAATATGATTGAGTTTTCCTGCTTGCTTATAATCTTTTTGTGGCTTCCCACTGCTCTGTCAGACCCCAAACACCTTAAGCTTCTGGGCTGCCCTTCCCCTTCTTGCTCTCATCCCCTTTTCCCCCTCCCCCCCCTTTCTCTGTTTTGGTTGCTTGTGGAGCTTAAACTCTGGGCCTGGCGCTGTCCTTCAGTTCTTCAGCTCAAGGTGTGCACCCTACCACTTGAACCACAGTGTCACTTCTGGTTTTCTGGTGGTTATTTGGACATAAGAGTCTCACAGACTTTCCTGCCTGGGCTGGCTTTGAACTGCGATCCTCATATTTCAGCTTCCTGAGTAGCTGGGATTACAGGTGTGATCCACCAGTGCCTGGCTCTCCCCTCCCTCTCCACCTCCCTCATAACGGGCTGGGTCCTGCCCCAGAGCCTTTGCACAGGCTCTGCATGCTACCTGAGATGCCCCAGCCCCCCACTGCATGGAATCCTTCCAGGACAGCAGGCCTAGCCCCACGGAGTGCACCCTCCGTGACATCCTGGCACCCCTCCGGTGACCTGTTGGTTTCTATACTTAGTCACCTCCATGGCTCCCGCAATCCCACCCTGGAGGAGCCCATCACCTTCGTCTTCCAGCGTGGGGTAGCTGCGGGCCCCTCGAAGGTCGTACTGGGCCTCCTCCCGCTCGCTGGGGATCTGGCTGGCCGAGAAGGCGGCCGTGGGCCCCAGGGGCTTCACAGCCAGCAAGGCGCCGCGCCCCTTCTTAGAAGGGGAGGACTTGAGGGCTGTGGAGGGAGGACGTGAGATTGGTGCCCAGAGGTCGTGACCCTCCTCCAGCCTCCCCAAAGCAGGGTCCTACGGGTCCCCCTCGGCCTCTGCACGCGGCTGGGCTGCATCCACGAGGGGGACCAGGGGTGGGGGTGGGCTGTGCTCCTGACTGATTTGTCCCAGACTGGGTAAGAAGGAAAGCCCAGCTCTGCCACGGGCTGCGGGGTATGTGTGTGTGTGTGGGGGGGGAGGGGGGCGACCTGGGAGGCTCCTCTCGGGACTGCCCCCTCGAGGCGTCTCCAGGAACTGCAGGCGTGGCTGGTGCCTGTGACTGACAGCTGACAGCCCTGCACTGTCCCAGCCCAGGCTCTCCGGGGTCCACTGTCCTCCATCCGTCTCAGCCCCACCCCCACTACTTTCCTCCGGCTCCTAGTCCTTCCCTCACCCCCAGGCGCTGGGGACTTACAGGAATTCTTCCGAAAGACCGTGTTACTCATGAACTTGAAAAATCGCTCGGCGTAGAAGCTGGGGCGGTGGACGGAGACCGTGTCCTGGAAGAGAGGTGGTGGGTGGGAATGGTGGGGAGTGGAGGGAGCGTGTTGAGTCCAGGCTGGGGGTGTGGGAGGCCCCATTCTGTGTAAATGCTCCCTAGCTTTCAGGGGGGTCTCTGGGACCCAAGGAGTAGGGAGTGGGTTCACAGAGCCCTGTGCCCAAGAATGAGGCGGGAGGCCGATTTCCTCCTCCAGATAAAGACATTTGCAGGGCTGGGAAGGTGGCTCAGTGGTGGAGTGCTTGCCTTGCATGCCTGAGGTCCTGGGTTTGATTCCTCAGCACCACATAAGCAAAAAGAAAAAAGCCAGACGTGGCGCTGTGGCTCAAGTGGTAGAGCACTAGCCTTGAGCTGAAGAGCTGAGGGACAGCGCCCAGGCCCAGAGTTTAGGCTCACAACTGGACCCCCCCCCAAAAAAAAAGCCATTTGCACTTTGAACTTTTTGAACTGTGTGAATGGAGAGTAAACACACAGGAAACCTGAGAAAGACTCCCAAACCCAGTGGGCCAAGCTTGGTTGTCTGCTTTGTAAATAAAGTTTTATTGACACATGGCTGCACCCTTTCCTCTGTTTAGCCCCTGCTGCTTTGCCTTGGCTGAGCAGCATCCCTGGCCTCCACCCAGACCAGGAGCTCCCCAGTCCTAAGTGTCCCCCAGAGTGTCCCCCAACATTGTTCAGGGTGTGGAGTCTAACAGAGACAGTCCTTAGAAGTTCAGTCATTAGCAGGGAAAAACAAGGATGGTGGGGAAAGCATCTGCCTAGCAGAGACTCTACATGGCTTATGGCCTCCATCAGAACTTGAGCTGGCTGTCCAGTTCCAATCTCATTTCCAATGAACCACCCAAAAGCCAGAAGTGGAAATGTGGCTCAAGTGGTAGAGTACCAGACTTGAGTAAAACTGGGACAGTTCCTAAGCCTTTAGTTCAAGCCCCACTACCAGCATAGAAAGAAGTAAATAAGGAGATGGGAAGGTGACTCAGTGGTAGAGCGCTTGCTTTGCATGCATCAGGCCCTGGGTTCGATTCCTCAGTACCACGTAAGCAGAAAAAACCAGAAGTGGCGCTGTGGCTCAAGTTGTAGAGTGTGAACCTTGAGCTGAAGAGCTGAGGGACAGAGCCCAGGCCCAGAGTTCAGGCCCCACGACCAACAACAACAACAAAAAAGTAAATAAAAATTAAAAAATAGTGGTCATGTGGGCATGCTCATAGGGGTATGTGTGGCAAAGGGGGTCAGAGCTGAGAAAGACGGGGACGCTGCATATTTCTGAGCAGTTCTGACGTCCTGGCTCAGCTGCCCTAAGGGTTGCTCCCTACACTATGTGGGGTCCCCAGCTCCAGGAAGCCAGTGTAGCCTCACCCTGGACTGGACCCCTGTAGGGCCTCCGTGGCTTCCCGGATTTCCCCTGCTTCCTTGGCCCGAACAGGCAGACAGGGCTGTCACTGCTGGGCCGGGTGACCCAGGAAGGTGCCATGTCTCTGGGCCCAGCAATCACAAGTGTGGACTGATGGGCAGAACGGTGAAGGAAGGCCACTCACCCCGTCGTGGACCAGGGCCTTCCATGTGTGCTCCAGCTTCTTGATGAACCTGTGGAGAGGACCTAGGCAGGTCAGCACTGGAAGCGTGTGGCAACCTTGGGCTAGACCCTAGATTAGGAGGTGAGCAGGTGGTGGCTTGGAAGGCTTGGGGCCAGACCAGGGCGGGGGGG